GGGGGGGGGGGGGGGGGGGGGGGGGGGGGGGGGGGGGCGGTGGCGGTGGCGGCGGCGGCGGCCGCGGCGGTAGCGGCGGGCGAGCGCGTGGCCGGGGCGGGCGCGATGAGCGGGGCCGGAGCGGCGCAGGGGGCGGCGGACGCGGCCCGGGGTCTGCGGGTGGACGGGCTGCCCCCGCTGCCCAAGAGCCTGAGCGGGCTGCTGCACTCGGCTGCGGGCGGCGGCGCGGCGGGCGGCTGGCGGCACCTGGAGCGGCTGTACGCGCAGAAGTCGCGCATCCAGGACGAGCTGAGCCGCGGGGGCGCGAGCGGCGGCGGGGCCCGGGCCGCGGGGCTGCCCGCCAAGCCGCCCAACCTGGACGCCGCGCTGGCCCTGCTCCGCAAGGAGATGGTAAGGGGAGCTCCGCGGGCCGGGCCGGGGGCCGGGGGAGGGGGGTGTTCCTCCGTCCGGGCTCGCCGTCCTGGGCAAGTTCGCCGGGACCCGCGCTCTGCTCCGGAAGTCCCCGCGACCCCCCGCCGCTTTCTGGCTCTTTGGCGCCAGCGCCGAGAGAGGGGCACTGACCTCTCAGGTGCCCCCTGTTACCAGTCCTCTGTCCGCGGTGGGACCCTCACCCGGAGAGACCCCCCCCCCCAGTGAAAAGGCAGTTTTCGGAGTCCCGCCGCCCCATGTCCGACCCCAGCTGGGTCGGAAACCGGCGGGAGGCGCGGCGTGGGGTTCCCTCGTGGCTGGCGGCGGGCGCGGCTCGGTCACCCGTCTCCGGAGAGAGAGACCTCCCGGGTCGGGGAGAGGCGTTCCCTGCGGCGGGGGGTTTAGAGCTGTGTGCGATTGTGTTTTCCTGCCTCGGAGAGGACAGTTTTGTCCGCGCGAGTGTAGACAGCGGATTGGAACAGCCCGCGCCCCCTCCCCCGCGCCCCAGGCGCCGCGTGCGGAATCCGATTACTGCGGGATGGCTCCGGCCCCAGACGGCTGTGAAGGCGGGCGCTCGGCCCATCCCCTCCGCGCGGTGGGGCCGAGCCCCGGAGCCCGCGGGAGAGGAACGCAGGGGGTGCGCTGCCCGTCTGGGTGAAGCCCGCGTGGGTGCCTCGGACAGTGTCCGGGCGCCAAACAACGGGGCTTAGTTTTTCTCAGTCCTTGGGAGGTACATTTGGTGTGCGTGGATCGGGACAGCCGATTTCAGGCGACGCCGAAGGCAGGGCAAGGGCAAGGATTTAGGCGGCGCTGAGCCCTTCCCCGGCTTTCCCGCGGGCTTAGGTTAGGCCCGCAGAGAACTGGAAAACTTCCTTCTTCCTACGCTCTCGCTGACCCCTGATCACCTACCCCTGGCCACCCGCTGGCTTTTTGAAATCTGCCCCTTCCTTTCTCTTAGTGCAGGTTCTAAGTACAGGTAAAAACTTCGCTAAGGAAATCTAGTATATGAAAGCTGCTTTTTTCCCCAAGAATAAATTTGCCAAAACCTTATCACAGAAACCCTTTAAATACGCATCTAGTACATTAAAAGATTGTTTAGAAACATTCAGTTTATGCCTCCTTTTTTTTTTCAGGAGCATATCCGTTCTGAAAGGTAAGACTTAATCTAGAAAAGGAGCCTTAAATTAACATTTTTAAAATCAATTAGATACTGTTTTCCCACTCTGTAGCTAGCATTGAAATTGTGATTTCCAATCCTCTCTGAATAGATTTTCTAAGCTGCTTACAGAATGACTTAAATTCCAAGACAACAATTTTTATTTATTAATAAACATTGACAGCAGCCTTGCACAGCTAAAGAGCTGAATTTCAGTTAGATAAGCCTACATCTAGTATGTTTACGGACTGAAGTTAGATGTAGCATAAATACGGGGGTGCAGCGGGAAGACTCATCCTGGGTTAAGTCAATGCTGGAACAGACAGGAAAACCTCAGGGCCCCTCCTGTTGTGAAGCTCTGCTTTATAACTTGCTCTGGTGGCTTGCGAGTCAATGTGCCATTCCCGAAAGTATTTTTCTGGGTCCCCTCCCCGGTGGTACTGCAGAACAGTCACAACCTTATAATTATGCCTTGGACCAGAGCTCTCCCTAAGCCTGTTTGAAGCACAAGGAAAATAAACAGCCATCTTTGGTCAGTCTGCTGTTTAGCTGCGAGAAAGATAAGGAAGATAGGGCTACAGGCCTTGACAAGTCCTTTCACAGAATGTCACAAGGTCTGTTTTGAAAAGAGCCCTAGGTCTGTTGCCTTTAAGAGATTTACTAACCTGCGGCAGTGGGGTCTGAGCGGTAACCTAAGCTGAGTTCATTCCTGAATTATCTATGGAATGGTTTGTGTTGATCTGTTTAATTGGAAGGCCTGAGGTCAAATCTGTGTCTGGGGACGTACTAGCAGTCCTGGCAGAATGTGATTAATCCCTTTTTGAAAGAGTCCCGTGCAATCACAGATTAATGTGGTTAATCTTTTATTTTATTTTATTTATTTTTTTTTTAGTCCTATGCAAGCAGTGATGGTGTGGGAAGGTCTCTGAAGGCAATAGAATTTTCTCAAGGGACAAGGGCAGTGGGAAAAGAGCAGCAAAGCTGGAATAAGGGACTAGCACCAGTGTGGTAGCAGACTATAGAGAGAGCCGGGAGTGGGGGGAGTGGGAGATGCTCGATGAGTGCTGGGAGGGGGTGAGAGCCTCCAGCAGGGTAGGGGCCAGTGAATGGGAAAAAGGAATCCAGTGGGAGATGCTGCTCTGATGCAGAAAATGCAGGAATTGTCAGTTACCTATTTGAGTCTGGGAGGTGCCTTCAGCGTTTGTATGGAAAGTGGGGGTTAGCAAAACAATTAAAAATTACTCACAGTTCTGGGCACCCAGAGATCATCACTGTTAATAGGGAGATCTCCTGTGTAGGCACCATGTAAATGCTTTCTATACATCATAACTTGTCTGTGCGGTGGATACTCAAAATCTGTTCTATTTATTTATCTACTTAGGTATTTATCAAAGTGGGGTTAACACAGGCTGTTACATTAGTTTCAGGTGTGCAACACAGTGACTCAAGTCTGTTTGCTAAGGTGTGCTTGCTGGTAGCGTGGCTACTATCTGTCACTACACAATGCTGTTACAATACCATTGCCTGTGTTCTCTCTGCTGTACATTTCATCCCTGTGACTTACTCATTCCAGAGCGGGAAGCCTGCACCTCCCATTCCCTTTTGCCCATTTTGCTCATCCTCCCCACCCCCCCATCCACCAGCAGCCAGTCGCTTTGTTCTCTGTATTTATGGGTCTGTTTCTGCTTTTTGTTTGTTTGTTCATTTGTTTTGCTTTTTAGATTCCACATGGAAGTGAAATCATACGATATTTGTCTTTCTCTGTCTGACTTATTTCACTTAGCATAATACCCTCTAGGTGCATCCTGTTTCATAAATTTTTGAAAAATCACTCAGAATTTAACCCCGCTATGGTCACATACTCAACCAGATGTGTCCCAAAGCCGTGTGTGTGTGTGTGTGTGTGTGTGTGTGTGTGTGTGTGTGTTTAAGGTTTTTTTGTTTATTTATTTGAGACAGAGAGAGCCCAAGCAGGGGGAGCGGCAGGCAGAGGGAGAAGCAGGATTCCTGCTGAGCAGAGAGCCCGATGTAGGGCTCAATCCCAGGACCCTGGGATCACGACCTGAACTGAAGGCAGACGCTTAACCAAGTGAGCCACCCAGGCGTCTCCCCCCCCCCTTTTTTTTTTGAACATCAGATGATATTTTACAATCACACTCCACAGATGTTTACGGGCTGTGAATTAGGTGTCGAGTGCTGTGGAGATACAATGATGAATGGAACTGTCTGGCTCTTAAGGACCCGCCACCAGCTGGAAGATGTCATTTCACAGCAACAGGGGTGCCATGGCTCAGACCTCTTCTCCGTTTTCTTGACTGGAGTCTCTGTATTAGTAATTGTAACTCCGTCTGAACTAGCTCTTGCGAAAGGAGAATCTTGATGGGCTGGACATACGCAGAGATAGGCTAGAACTGGGCGGACGGGGCCCCTGGGAAGTCCACTGTTGTCTCCTCTTTCCCCTGCCATTTTGTTTTCCTACTTTTTGGACTCTGGCTGCTAACCGGGTCCACGCTCCGTTTTGGCTGCATTTCTTAGATCCAGTTTGCAAATACTGTGTGGAAGGACGCCAGTGGGCCCAGCTGGGGTCATCGGGCCAGTCTGGGCCAGCTAGTCGTAACTGAGGGCAGGATTGCATTTTACTGAGATAGTGCGACCATGTGGATGGGGTGGGTGTGGGGCACTGGGGATTCCCCCAGAGAAAGGCCGGTTTGCAGAAATAGAGCTGGGGGCTGCTGGACGACCAAACTATTAGATGTCTGTCGCAGACTTCTTCTTCCGTAAAAATACGTTGCCCTGAAGGGCCCCACAGTTTGAAAGATTCTTACCTGCTAAGCTGACAAAATCACCTTTGCTCAGAGACCTTGGCTGGCGTTTCAAATCCTTGCACGTGGCTGAAGGACACCCTTGACTCTCAGCGTCAGCCGGGACCCTGATAGGTACGTTCCCTGAAGTTTGTACCTAGACCCCCTGCCCAGTAGCTCTGTGACATTAGCCCATCAAGCTTGGACACCCCCCAGAAAATCACAAAAGCACAGACAGAAGATCCTCAGATATGTGGGAGCAGCAAACGTTTGAGGGCAGCACCCCTGGGGGTTCTTGGGTTTTGCCTCTCAAACCACAGAGGCAAGTTCTAGTAGCTTTGACTTGGAACCCTTTGTTTTCTTGTTTCCTTTTTTTCCCTTAGAACCAACAAGTAGTGGAGCGCCTGGGGGGCTCAGTGGGTTGAGTTCGGCTCAGGTCATGATCCGCAGGGTCCTGAGATCACGCCCCGCATTGGATCTGCTTGAAATTCTCTCTCACTGCCCCTCCCCTTTCTCTCAAATGAATAAATAAAATCTTTAAAAAAGAAATGTCAAGGGGCGCCTGGGTGGCTTGGTGGGTTAAGCCTCTGCCTTTGGCTCAGGTCATGATCTCAGGGTCCTGGGATCGAGCCCCGCATCAGGCTCTCTGCTCAGCAGGGAGCCTGCTTCCCCCTGCCTCTCTGCCTGCTTGTGATCTCTCTCTCTCTGTCAAATAAATAAATAAAATCCTTAAAAAATAAAAATGTCAAGTAGTTATTTTGGTCACCAACCCATGCATGAGTGGGAAATCATCCACTTGGAAGTTTTGAGTGCCCAAGCTGCAGTGGTTTAGGGGAAGAATTTAATCTGATTAAATAAAGCTTGATTTCTGAGACCCACAACACTCCTTGTCCCTGCGTTTTTGTTGAGAGCAACTAAATGTCTAATGAGTTTGTGCAGTGAACTGTGTTCTAGGAGATGTGCATTAGCTTGAATGGCCCACATCCCAGTGGATTTCAGTTCTTATCCTGCCCGTGGAGCCAGTG